ATCTAAAATATAAAATAAGAACATACAGGTAGCTAAGGTGGAAAAAATATATATAGGGGGCTAAGGCCCTGCTCACCTTCTGAGACTTCTGAACTGCTGTGTGACAGGATCTGTGACATTGGAGAGACACAGCAGATGTTTCCTATTTGAAAATGTGACACCAAACGTATTTTCAGTAGGACCGATTCTTATATGAATTAAATGTGTATTTTTTTATATTTCTGTAAACAAGATACATTTTTTGGTATGCATGAATAAAAACATTGGAACAAGAGCTTCATTCTTAGGAGCTATGTATTTAAACTTTGACTGTAGTAAAATTCTTGAAATTAATGGATTTTAAGGCCAGAAGGGACTATTAGGTGATTTAATGGTCTGTAACATGCAAGAGGTCAGGCTAAATTTCACCAAGTTATCTGTGTTTTTCTGAAGCATAGCTAGGGTCTAGCTAAATCATATTTTCTAGAAAAGCACTGGTCGTGATTTGACATTCACTGAACTTGCATGCAAAAGCAGTGCTGAAATATAATTTTGGTTGTTTGTTTCTTAATTTGAATCCTTTTGCTTTTACTAAGTAAGCTCAGGCAGTTCTGCATGCAGGTATCTGCCTATCAATACAGTGTACCAACAGTTACGCTACTTGCTTGTCAAGAGCGATGCTCCTTGGGAATAAAAAATAAAAATGAGTGTAGTTGATACGAGTTACTGTGGCTATATGGCAAAAATCTGTATCTTTAAATTTCTGCTACCTGGATTCATGCCAAATATTTCTTACTTACATTAAATCTTAACTACTATTAATGCATGCCACATGACAACTTATTCCTGCAAACAAGAAAATTTGTCATACTATGTGAAAATACAGCATTCTTTCAGAAGCTTGGACACCTGCATTTAGCGGTTATATATAGACCAGAAATTCATTATTTGCTTTCAGGGGCAACTTGAGGGCTGATCTTTTGAACTGATGAAAATCTGTGAGGTTGATTGGGGATTACACCCCATTTGTTCATGTTCCATATATTCAAGGGAAACCGACAGGCTAAATGTAGCTTCAGGCTAAGTTTTGTAAACCTGATTTTTCCATAATGTACTGTTCCAGGACCACCTTGTTTTAAATTGTATCTTAATGGGGTTTCTCACGCCACTGTCTTTAAAGTAGTGGTGTAGCATTTGCAGGCCAAGCGGGACAGCAGCGGCAGTGCGGTGCTTGCTGCCTGACACTGACATAGACTTCATTTTTCTCAGTTTAGTCAATGAGATGTACCAGCTACCAAAATGGTGAAAAATGAGATTCTTAAAAATTGTCAGCCTCAATACACTAAGTTATTACTCAAGATGTAAACACAGGAGTCTTATTTTATGAAAATTCATAGACATTTAACCTGATAGTGTCATAAACCATTGACCCGGTATCCTGTGACGTATCTCAAATATTACAGACTAGCATTTTCTTTGACAATTCTGATAAAGCATTTCATGATATGACGTGCATTTCACTTTATACCAGTTTCCGTTACCATGGAAAAAGTTCTAAAAGTCTTTTTAGCAGAGACAACTTCTGGGGACTGAGTTATGAGTCACACAAATACAATGTTTTCAACCTGCTTTTTTCCATTAGTTTCAAAGTATAGAGTACCACATGTATCACAATAGCCGTTCAGTTAATCTTTGCCTTCCTTGTTAACTGATACGGTGACCTAGCGTTGACAAAGCTGTCATCACTTTGGTTAATAGTTAAAATTTTTAGCAGCTCTTCTTTCAAACTCTGTTTCAGTGTTTGTCTCCGTTTCATAATTACAGAAAACTTAATTAATGGTATTTCTGGAAAAGATGTACATGCCACTTCAGAATTGCATAGAGGCTAATTTTTCTTCCAAAACAAGTTGATCAGGGATTTGAGACTGATTTGTGAGTGAGTTTTTTGGCCAGGGAACTATTCTGTCCTCCTGAATCTCTTTGCTTCTTCGAAGAATGCTCCAGTAACTAAGATATTCTCTTGTAAGACAAATTCTGCCACCACATCCTTCATCTCCAGACCTGTTTTGGATCCCTGGCCTCAGAAGATTGCACGCACTGGATCCTCACTGGGAGGGAGGGAGGGATGGATAAGGCATGGAGGCAACCCTGAGTCAAGGATTCATGCTCTGGGGAGGAGTGGTGTTTAGGCAAACCCACCCGGCTTAATGTCTTCTACAGAGAGCTGCAGGCTCAGCTGTGTGCTCAGCCTACTTTGAGGCTGCTCTTGCTGTATGAGTGTTTTCCTTCCCTTATTTATTTTGGAGTCTTACCGACCCATTGCAGCCAAATGTGAGAGTAAGATAGGGTAACTGCAAGTATTAGAGGAAGGAGACCCAGAACATGGCCCTCATGCTGCCAGGAGCTCGTTGATTTTCTGTCTGTTTGGTCTCCTGACCAGTAAATAAAAATGCATGAACCTATTTGCTGATCAGCACCCACAGCTCTGCTGACTGCTGTCAGTAGTGAAAGGGCTTGGAAGGCAGAAAGGGTACTGCAGGTAGGTGGGGCTGGGGGAGGTGTGGGAAAGCACATCATTATCTGGGACAGGACCTTGATTCTCTTTGCATGGATGAAGAGGAAAAAAGTTTTTTTTAAAAAAAGTTATACAACCCAAGAGCTAGAAGAATTGTCTGGTTTTCCTGTGCCACAAAACTCCTCCTGCCCTCAACTGTATGCACACAAAAACATAGTTCCAACCAAAAAATTACAGCTGTATAGAAAATAGCAAATTATCATCTTTTTTTACCGTGTTTATGTGATGACATCAGAAAGAACTTCAAGAACTGCTGGAAGTAAACCTGAAGTATCATGAGGATGAAGAAAGACAAACAGATGCTTGTTTAAAACTCACATGCATTCATTCATGTGCAGATGAACACTAGAGCTGTATTACAACAGAAGACCTGCTTGTTCTATGGATTTTTATTGCCTGTGTTTTGTTTCATAAACCATATATTCGTAAGCCCTTCCGTATAAAAATATACTTTCAGAAACGTGCCTGTATAGCGCAATTTTTAGTAGCAACCTAGAAGGAGGAACGAAACATTAAGGTATTAATGACCCATGAAAAATGAGAAAATAGGAAACACATTTGCCTTGATCCAATTTAGGCCTTGCAGAGTCATTATTCCCCAAGTTATATGGCCGTTCAAGTCCCTTACATGCTTACATGCATTTTTCTTTCCCCAGAAATTTCCCGTTGTCTCAGCACTTTGAATCGCATGGGCTGCTCTGAACTAGCGGTCCTCATTCTTCAGGTAGAGCATGGCCAGCTAGTGCGAGCGGGCAGTGAAAACAGCTTCTCTGTTAATCCCCCACCACTCAGGACAGTGCTGGCTGGATACCAATATAGAAATCATGTGTAGGAACACACTGAGTAAAAATAAAATGACTTACAGGTGTACAAGTAAGCAGCTATATAATATTTAAAGCATTGCTTTAGTCTTCCGTCCTGCTTTTGTCTCCCTGTTCAAAGAACTGTACCTAAGTGATGGGAGCAGAACAGGTACATCAGCGCTTTCCGTGCCTAATTTGCGATATACATTTCTACTCCATATTTGTGGGAGTTCATTGATAAATCCAAAGGAGAGGGATGGCAGTAGGCAATGAGGTTTAAGGCAGGAAAAGAACAAGAGAGGAGAACGTGTTCCAGAGAAAGTTTTGATCCAGTTGAATTCAAAGGAAAAAAAAGCAGCTCTCACCAAGCTCAGCAGCACTGCAGTGGTGTGCTCCTCACTCCCACGAGATCGGCCTTGGGATGATGCTGTGCCTCTAGTTTCTGTGGACTCCCACATTCCCACTCCTGCCATTGGAGCAGTTTTCTCTTTAGCAACATCCCTTTTCTCCTTGCTCCATAGTTAGTAAGGCACCAGAAAGGGCAACCCTTTGCCACTTGGTAGTTAGTGTGGCCTAACTACACTTCTAGAAAACAGATTAATTTTAAAGTTTGTTATAAAAAAACTTCATTGCATTGGATATATTAGAAAAAGCGTTTAAAATGTTTGATATTTAAAGCATAGCGATTGATTTTAATTGCTCAAACTTATTATTTTTAGTGATTTATTCATTTATTATGCTCTTTTATTGTGCTAGTGAATTTAATTTATTTTCCTAGTCACTATATCCTTCAAGATTTTAGATTAGTAGATCTCATCCAGACTTGCATCTAAGCAAGCAAATGAGATTTTTTGCTTGTTTCTAATTTCCACTCAGTTTCTCAGCAGTTGAGTGATCACCACTGAGCAGAAGCAGCTGCTATGGGGGCATATTCTTTAGAGAGCTGTGATGGAAGTGGTTGATGCTATCAAAAAATGGGTTTCCACTTCAGCAAAACAGTGGTTTGACTTTTTTTAGGAATTAAGCAACAAATTTGTACTGCATCCTTACTTACTTTTTTTCTTTTTAAAAAGATTAAGTTTATGTCTCTGTAAAAGTTTTCCATTTCAAACTTTATTTTTAAAATGTATGCAAACTGAAATATCCAATTCCAATAAAAAATCTCATTTGGATTTTGTCTTGTTTTCTTATAAATCATCATTTTTTATCCACCCTGTTCAGGTTATTAGAGATAATTCAAACTTCGTAAGTCCCGAGTAACTGGCTTCTAACAATTTTAATAAAGCTGGTAAGTATCCTACACAATTACTGGGTGCTTGGATTCATAACTAATTTTAGCATTCATAGGCAAGTTCTCTTTCTAGCTATGCATAACATTCTTGTCCAATGGTAGCATTTTGCTCTTTCATCAGTTTTAGAATAAATCTCATTCTTATTTCTTACATCCTCACTGAAGCAAATACTGAAAAGGATAATAGATTTGCCATGTACTATATAATTCTTTCATTTGCTCTATGTTTTATCTGGTTTACCAGACTATTTAAAAGCTTGCCATTTTAGCATCTGAGACGTGTGTTTGCATGTGTGTGTTTGTATATAAAGATGTATTGATATGGATGTTCTCATGTCTTATCTGTAGGATACATCACTGACTGAGGTAAACTCATTCAGTCCTTCAATGCCAATATCCCCCTCATCAATGATAAACCAGTATAAATTTGAAGATGAACCAGAATTAAGAGATCTCTTCATTACAGTCGATGATCCTGAAAGCCACATTACAGCCATTGAAACATTTATTACATATAGAGTAGTCACAAAGGTAAGCATCTGCTCATGGCTATAATGGCTTACATTGATAACAGTAGTAGCATTTTCACTCTTCTTGCATACCATTCTCTGGGATATTTCTGAATTTAAATTATACTCTGGTTTTGCCATGAATTATAGACCACTAAAACTGGATGAAACTGTGCAGTAGATTCTGAAAAAAATTCAGTGTAAGTCTACACATATAGGTGTTTATGTTTTTTATGCTGAGAAAATAGCTAATAATTCTTCAACAGCCAAAGCAGTTCTATATGAGAATAACATTTTCTTTTGTGATCTTCAGCAGTAATATGAAACAGCAGAAAGACTGACTCAGTTCAAAGACACTGTATTAGCCCAAGTATTTATGACTTTTGGATCACTTGCAGGCTAGCAGTCTTTTGTCTTGCACAAATGTTACCTGCTACAAAGTCTTTCAATTCCATTATTTTGTAATTACAGCGTCTACTATCACATGGATATTTGTTTCCCATTTACAGTTCATATGGTTTCTGGGGAAACTGCCATAGTTCTCCAATGAAAAAGTAGTATTAGGAAACAACTAAGTGTATTTTTAGCTGTCCTGAATGCAAATTATTTACTGGAAATAAGGAAGAAAGTCAGCCTTTGAGACTAGCCAGCTCTTCTGGGATTACCAGCAAATATTCTGCAGGCTGCATTTTGAGAACTGCGCTGTTAATTTATTTTACTTTGAGCTCTTTTTAAAAGATTCATTTAAAACCAAATTTTCAAATGGGAATTACTTGTACTTAAATAAGAGGAGATATCAATTCCTCATAAAACATTTAAAGAGTAGGAAGAGAGCTATCTTCGTTAGGTTGCTAGCAATAATTTTCACTTTATGCATGTTTTTGTAGACGAGAGAAAATTTTTTCTTCAGGCAAATATGGAAGGGCTGTAAGGTAGATTGTTTTTGCTTTTTTATCTATTCTATCCTTTCTTATCATATTTAATTTGAAGTGCTGGTTGTTGATGATAAAGTAATAGCATTCCTCCCACATACCTTGAAAAATTTTTATTCAGCCCTCAAAAATGTTTAGATTACAAAAGCGTGTTTTGAGGTTTTTAGAATTTACTTGCGTCGCATTACAAATCTCTGTGCAACAGTGAATGCTAAACAGCACGCATTACTTTAATGAAAACACGGGCTTTTTGTGGCTGGATTCTAGAAGATAGAGCAGCGATCAAATAAATCTCATGGTCTGACAATTTTGCAACACTGTACTAAGCATTTTTTCTAGGCATTAAAGGTTTGTTGGCAAGTTCTAACAAAGGGCCACAAAACTGGAATTGATGATGGAACGCAGAATCCATTAAGCAGCGCAGGAAGTGTTATTGCTATGATATGCTGAAGTTTTCATGTTTTGAATGTGGGGATTGTTGACTAGTGTCAGCAGGTCCCAAGAACGTACGTCAGCTGTTTGGGTTTTTTTTCAGAATGCTAAAAAATGGACTTTCCTCACTCATAGATTACTGATCACTTTAAAAGAAGTGCCCTAAAAGTAACAAACATAACCTGATTGCTAAAAGGAAAATGCCACACTAAAGTAACGATTGAAATCTTTTGGAAACGTTGTGGTAGGCTCATTATTATAAGCCACCCTGTGTGCAGTTTAGTGCTTGCTTTTTTTTTTTTTTTTTTACAATAGAACTTTGATTTCTTGCTAAAATGGGATGTGTTTTATCTCTTCAAGTAGTTGATCATTGCACTTTAAAAAACAGCAAGCAAATAACACAGGTAAAATAGAATCATGTGTGCACTCCCTTCAAGTACTCAGTTTTCTCCAAAATCTGAAACTACTTTGTTCTTTTTTTCTGGTATTCTAACTTGGGCCTGGTTTTTCTGCCTCTGGTTTTCAGACATCTCGTGGTGAATTTGACTCCAGTGAATATGAAGTTCGAAGACGATACCAGGATTTCCTTTGGTTGAAGAGCAAACTTGAAGAAGCACATCCGACACTGATTATTCCTGTTCGTTTGCTAAAACTTAAGTTATTTTTATTTGTTTATAAGATGGCTCCAGTTTTATAGAGAGATGTTTGAGGACTTTCTTCAGTTTCTGAAACCTCACAAACATTAAACCAACCTAGTTTCATTAGCTTTATACATATGTGATAGTTAAAAATCCCATAAACATATTTCTTACATTTGTAATTGTGCCATTTAGAGTAATTTATGTCCTTCTTTCTTAGTTGTACTTGTATTCTTCTGCACTGTGTGCTACAAGAACCATATTATACCACTGTTGAATGTGATAACTTTATAACAGTTTGGTTTTTGCATGGTGGGTTCTACAAGGTATACCTATGGTTTTTAGTAAGTAGAAGAACTATTATAATACCCTTAATATTATGTAAATCAGACAATATATTTTTTTTCTTTTTTCCTTAGCCATTGCCTGAAAAATTCATAATGAAAGGAATGGTGGAACGATTTAGTGATGAATTCATTGAGACTCGAAGAAAAGCTTTACATAAATTTTTGAACCGTATTGCTGATCATCCAACTTTAACTTTTAATGAAGACTTCAAAATTTTTCTTACTGCGCAGGCCTGGGTAAAATTACTTTATTTTTATTTACAGTTATGTGAAACCACATCTTGTGTTAGTAGAGTATATCAGGAGTCTCCCTAGTTCAGTATTCAATAGTGTCCTCCCACGCCTTGTTACGGAAGTGTCAGAAGAAGGCAGGGAGTTTATGGAGTATTCATCCCCTGATACAACATTTTCTTCTGTGCTTTTGGTAATCATGCGTGTGGCCATAAATATTGCTGTACCTTCCAAAGCAGTTTTTGTTGCTTCATTTTGGATTTTTGTGGCAAATTCACAATATTTCAACTCTGCATACTTTTTGGTATACATATAAGCTTCCAAGATTTTATGAAAAGTAGCATTTTAAATTAATTATTTGGCATGGCACTGTCTTTTTCATCTGCTTTTTTTTAAAAGATATACTAGTCTCATAAAAGAAAAATACAGCCTTTGAATTTCCTGTTGTATTTTTGCAAGATGAGTCCAGTTGAAAATTGGAAATTTTGTACTTGGAAAAGGCTGCCTCTGAACTTCAGCAAAGCTTATTCTAGCAAGATATAAAGAGAGTTACAAAAAAAATAGATGGATTACTTCTTCCAATAGGAACACTGTTTGCTTTTCCCAATAACTTATTTCTGCAGTCATTGCCTCTGCTTTCCTGTTCAAAAGACTAAATTGCAAACTAGCTAACTCACCCGAAGGAATGAAAGGGTTAAGGTTTTCTGCCATCTTCAATCACTCATGTCAGAGCGTGACACACGGCATGCTTGTGTTTGCCCAGAAGGGCTTAGCTAATAAATGCACATGACAGGTACGGTTCTGGCACTGGTCTAATAATTTTAAAGTAAGATTTATACCCTAAAAAGGCACACAGAGGCTTATGTATGTAGTTTTGTTTGGAAAAAAAAAAGCTTTGAAGTATGCATTATTTTCAGAGAATTTAAAAAAATACTTGGAAGTCAACACGGCTTGTTCTGTCTATAGGAACTCTCCTCACACAAGAAGCAGGGTCCCAGTTTGCTGAGCAGGATGGGACAGACCGTCAGAGCTGTAGCATCCTCAGTGAGAGGAGTTAAAAATCGTCCTGAAATGTTTACAGAAATGAATGATTACATGGAAACATTTAGTCAGAAAATAAACGTACTAGACAAAATAGCTCATAGAATTTACAAGGAAGAAAGGGGTAAGTAGAAAACAAGTATCAGTTTTATTGATTTAAGAAATTAATATATCGGAAAAGTAAATTTTCATTGTGCCAGGCAAAATACTCTTTCCAGCAAGCGGGGGGAAAAGGGAGATTAGTGTTTATACTGTGCTTTTCATAATGGTCATTGTTTTGGTAGACCTTCAAGTTAGTTTGAATAACTTGTCAATAGGAAGAGTTTTAACATGTCATTGAACTACTTGATAAGGAACTTAGAAAGAAGAAAACGTAGCAAGTATGGCTATCTTGTTACTTGTGCTGCATGACCTTTTGTTTTGTACTTTCAGTGGAATGTAAATAGTCAGAGTTTTCTGTGCTGTCTCTTACTGGCATAATGCTGTCTAGATTCTAGATCTCTTTTTTGGTTTCATTCTGCACCTTTTTTCTGTGTTAACCAAGTAGATTTTTTTTTTTTTTATAGCTTTACTGTTGGCCATAATTTCTATAATGGGAAGCTATGCCTGTTAGAGTTTTCTTAAGAAGAGTGACTTAGTCTCAATTTTTTCCTTAAGTAACAGCAGTTTGAACAACTACTTGGAATGTTAAATTACGGACTTTCTGAGATTGACCCTGATCTCAGACTAGGCCTGTTCAGTAGAATTTCCACTGGTCAGCACTTGAGGGATTTTATTGTCTATATAATAAAATTTGAAGAGCTGCACTGTGTTCTTTAATAACTGAGCCCTTGTGCTTTATTGTGCAGTACCAGATCTCAGCGTGTCCTCACTAAATTGGAGGGGTCTTATAAAAAGAAAATACATACTGGTGAAAAGAGTTCCTTTTGATATCATTCATTTCAGTGGAAATAGCTGGCTGAGGTCTGTAGGTTCAAGGCATCCGTGCCAAAATATTTCTTGGAAAACCTTAAGAATTTTGACATGCTCCCAAATGCTGTAGGTTATATCTTCTTTCTAGATTTTCCACATAGCACTTGGCAGAACACTTGTGTGCAGGGCTGCACTGTCGTGGATATGAACTGTTGATAGCTGTGATTCAGAGAACATTCCTG